CCATGTGAGGAGGTGCTCCCATTGGCTGTGCGGGTGTTGCCAGCCAATGGGAGGGGTTCGGAGCACGCTCCTGATATTGGGTGGGTTCTGGGTACACCCCTCCACCGATGGCAGCATGGGAAAGTGACGCCACTTCTCAACGACCCTACTTACCCGCCTCGGGATTCCTTCAACTGGCCACCCCGTTCAACTTTTGAGGCTATCACGCATATTCGCTAAGGCAAGGGAACATCGCGCATTGCTTCTTTGCACAGAAGGGGCTGCGGCGCCACAGGTAAAGCGCATTCATGTCTGGAACCATACGTTATTCGTGCGAAGCCTGCTGAAGCTATCCTACGTGCGTCGGCGCTTACCCCAGGCTCTCAACATTCCTTCATAGACGGACCCCTTTCTCGTCCATCCTCGACTTGAGAAATGCTTTGCGCATGTTCTCATTTCTTTTTCTCATCTTTGCCTGCCCTCGACATGCAGAAGGGGTCTTGAACGTGGCCTCTCGCAACTTCAGCACCACCCCACGTGCTAGCCGGCAGACACTGCTTGCTCATCACAGCGTGGTAAGAAGGACAAAAGGACGTTTCACAGTTTGGAGGAAACGGCACAAAGCCGCAGGCTGCAATTCATGACCTTTTGATGCAAACGATTTCCGAGGATCTAACCTCCAAACTCCCACGATGTTTCCCCCGTTGTCTGTGACGTTAACAGACGCGCGACTGTTCCGGCCATCCACTTTTTAGAGTACATGTCGGTGCCTTTTTGTTTCTGCCAATGCGTCTCGAGAGTAAAAGCCGATAGGAAAGAATCCTCTTACGAGGGGGGAGCGGCGCCACGGCCACGGCCAAAGCCACCACGGCTATAACATGTGTTAGCAAAAAGACGTTCCAACCCTTGCTGTGCGCAGTATCGACATATGCGCAAAGCATTCGAGGGGTTGAGGCTCACAATTGGGGCTCGAATCCACCAGGGGCACCACCCTCCTTGCCGCCCTCGCCAGCATCACGGCGGCGGTAGCCACCCTCACGGTCACCACGGTCACCTCCACGGCCACGGCCGCCGAAGGGTCTTCTCTCGCGCTCGCCCTCGCCGAGCATGCCGCGGGGGGGAGCGTGGGAGCGCTGCTGCTTGATGTGGGTGGCGGGGACAATCTCGGCGGGAAGGTGAAGCCACTCGCGGAGGTAGTCGAGACCCTCGGGGGTCAGGGTGTAGTAGTAGTACTGCCACGAGAACTGGGTCTTGACATAGCCGCGGGAGGTGAGCGACTGGCAGGCCTTGACGACGAACAGGTTCTTGGTGTCGATGTCGGGGTGCTTGGGGAGGTTGAAGTCCTTCTTCGCGACGAGGACACCCTCACGGAAGAGGTACTGTAATTTTCGTCGTCAGCAATCGCTATCCTCCCAATTTTTCAGCACGCCTGAAAATTGTAAATCTAACCTCGTGGATCTTCTTGCGGTCGGCCTTGGGGATCAACATCGTGGCGGTTGTCGTGGTCGCTGCTGGTCGATGAGTGGGATGTCTGATCGAGCGCTGTCGAGAACTAACAAAAAGTTTCGAAATTCGTCGTGGGAAGGTAGAATAGCCTAGTGGGCGTCAACCCTACGCGGAACGGACGAAGTGTGGGGCGCTCTAATGGCGCACAGAGTCATCACGTGTAGATAACGCCTAGCGATAAGTCAATGTATCCTCAGGACCCGCCACACTTCCTCAGGGTGCTGCGCCTCACCCTGTAGCTAGGTATCTGCGATAAGCCGCGCCTATCTCATAATTCATCGTTATAACCAAAGACTGAACATTTGCCTGCCACTTCGCGTCCTTGTCCCGCCTCGACATCGTCACTTGCACATCGACTTATTATTGCGTCGGCGCAAATCAAGAAATCAAATTCTTCGGCTACGGACGTAAAGCATTTCCGACTTCAAAATGGCTGTCAAAAACGTCAACGTATTCATCAGCACCTTTGCTGGGTTGGGCCTACCATCGACACTGGTACTGCCTGTTTCCTCGACGACGACCCTATGCGACTTGCGACAACAGCTTGACGAGCGACTGCCCGCCACAGATAACCGCCTTATCCTGACGACCGTCTCCAACAAAGAGCTGTCAGCTTCGTCTACCAAACCAGTGTCTGATCTTCTGTCATCCATCGATGATGACTTTGTTTCTTTGCGACTTTCAGTACCGCTTTGCGGTGGCAAGGGTGGTTTTGGGTCCCAGCTTCGAGCCGCTGGTGGTCGCATGTCCTCAAAGAAGAAGCGAAATCAGGGAGATGCCAACAACTCAAGCCGAAACCTTGACGGTAGACGTCTGCGGACCGTCACCGAGGCCAAGGCTCTGGCGGAGTACCTCGCCATCAAGCCAGAGATGGAGAAGAAGGAGAAAGAGAAGCGTCGCGAAAGATGGGAGCAGATCGTTGAGCTTGCAGAGAAACGCGAGGACGAGATCAAGAACGGCAGCAAGGGTCGCCTCGACGGAAAGTGGGTTGAGGACAAAGAAGAGTCTAACGAGAGAACCCGCGAAGCGGTACTTGCTGCCATGAAAGCCGGGAAGTATAAGGACAATCTTCTCGGTACTTCGCAAGGATCGACAGGATCAGAGGAGACGGAGGAGGAAATGAGTGAGGATGAGGGTGATGAGGAAGTTGGCAGTTCGAAAGAGTCAACACCGCCATCGGAACCGGCAAAGGCGCCCAAGGATAAGCCGAGAACGTTCTTTGGATTCGATGAGGACGATGAGTTTATGAGTTCTGATGAGGATGAAGTCAAGAGCAAGAAGAAGTGAGCTGACGAGTCGCATCGCTTCTCATCGCCTCTTCACTTCTTTGCTTCTTCTACCATCTTCATCACACTGCTTAGCTTGCGTAAGAATTATAACGGCAAAGGGGAGCGCACGGAGTTTCTGGTCAGCGGGGTTAAAGGAACGGTATCAAGGTTCAAGTTTTTGTACAAATGATCAAATGGGCGGACACTACAGATAGTTTTCACGAAATCATATTCGGCGCCCTGGAGCGTCATCAGCGTCATCGCACGACACGTCCTCCAATGCTCTATTTGAGGTCTCGATCCATCTTGAAGTAATACAGTCGCCCGGCTCCTCCGTCTAACCTGCTCACAACAGAGTCCAAATTTGCTTATGCGTCGAGCTTGACGGGGAAGTTGCCGGCCTCTGTCATGTGTTAGTATGCGTGCTTCTGATATACGGACGGAGTGCTGACCTCTCTGCTCGTCCCAGCGGGTGTACCAGCCAGAGGGGCACAGAGAGCGGTAGCCGAGCCAGAACTGCGACTTGTTAGTTTCTTTCAATTTTCAACAGAACTCGCGGACGGTCCGGACCTGGCGGCAAGGGGCGAAGTCCTCGCCCTTGGCGTTGATGCACTTGTGGTAGTCGACGTAGTTCTGCCAGCAGTGCTTGGTCTGGTTCATGTTCGGGTAGCGGGCATCGGTGCCTATTCAAGCTCATGTTAGGTTCACGTCGCTCATCATTCCCGCTCTCAATTGAGGTGACGCTATCGCGGGTTTCGGTGGTTCGGGCGGAGGGTTCATACCGGCTATAGTGGTCATCAGTTAGCCTCGGAAAAAAGATCAGACCATACTTTGGAGAGGGATATTTCTTCAGCGTACCGGTAACGAACTTGAAGGGCTTGGTAACGAGCTCCTGATCGTCGGACATTTTGGCGGCTTGCGAGTTCAATTGACTGGGAGTCGGATCTGGTGATGGGGTCGAGTGGGCAACGGCGTGCGATCGGTGTTGATGCTTTGAGAGCAATTGAATGGTCGTTTCTGCATCGAGAATCAGGTGGTGACGGGCGAGAACGGGTGGATGCCTGAAGATGGCCAATCGGGCCTCAGGCATTAGAAAGGTGGGCCGAGCTCCAGTCCAACATCAGACCAGACCGATGGAAGTCCAGTCCAACTTCTAAACACTCATTTTGAGATCCAATCCCGATCAACTACGCTCCCTCCCGCCGTACCGACAGGACCGAAAAATCTCCCCTCTTCAGAAAAAAAAAGAAATCGCCAAAATGCGTCCTACTCTCGGTCTCCGCGCTTTCCGCCCGACTCTGCGCATGATGTCCCCCGTTCCCGTACGTTGAAATTTCGCCGGCCCGGATGAGCGCAATCGCTAACTCTCACATCTCCCCTTAGGCCGAGGACCAAGTCGGTACGTCGAAACCCGCCCCCAGCCATTGAACGCTCCCGCGATATCGGATACCGATCTCGACGATAAACTGTGGTATTGCGAAATGGCTAACAGGAGCTGATATTGTTGATGCCAGGCCACACCGTCTCCCAGAGACTGCGCAAGCTCCGCCAGATCCCCCCCGAACTGATCCCCCTCGGTACGTCATTAGACATTCAAGGTTACATCAAATTGTTGTTGACGGCATACAGGTGTCGTCGTTGGCTTCGCTCTGGCCGCTGCCACCTACTCTGTCGGACGTCACTTCATGACCGACAAGACCATCCGTCTCAAGCGCCAGGGCAAGTCTGCCGCCGACGCCGGCCACGGAGAGGAGCACCACTAAGCGAAGGTTATGAGGACGACGGGAGAACGATTGACCATGGCGCTCGTGTGTTATTAGGGAGGATCAGTTTGTATAAGTCTACGACAAAGACAGATCAAAAGGCACCAGAGACGCTGCTTTCATTTCCTTTCTCATTGTGCTTCTCCGCCTCGAGTATTAGAGAAAAGCCGTGCCCCTTTTATATCTCAGTAAATCCGTGTGAACGCCGTCGCTATGTAATTCAAAACAGGCTTCAGTCGCCTTCGTCCACACCAACTCATCTTCACTCTGGTCGTGGTCCCGCGACATCGAGCCCCTCCAAACCTTGCATGGGGTCATCCCCACGCATCTCAATCTGTGCTGTGCCCTGGTCTGTTGCCAATCCATCCTCCTCTCCAACAGCATGCTCTGCCAGCCATCCCTCCTATGATGGATGTTAGTACGTTGTTTCAAAGCTCGATGAGGTAGGAATATGAATCAGAGGAGAGGCATAGTAGCAGAGTGATAGAATTTAGAGTAAAGAAAGAAGAAGATAAGAAGTAGTGAGAACCGCGAACAAAAGATGTGAGACATATATTCAAGGAATGACTGACCTGTTCCCAGACAGCCTTCTTGCTGCCCAAGCCCTCGTCTGCGCTCTTGGGAACTTTAGCGGCTGACACCTTGATGACTCGCCCGAAGAATTCTGACTGATCCATGTTGTCGATGGCTTCTTTCGCGTCCTCCGTATCTTCATACTCAACATAAGCGAAGCCACGGTGAGGATCTGTTGAGTTTGGCTTGTCGTTCTTCGGTAGCGACACATCGGCAATTTCTCCAAAGGGGATGAATGCATCGTGAACGTTGGCGGCCGTCACTATGGAGGCCAGTCCACCAACGAAGACGGTCGATTTCCAGCGCGCAGCGTCCGTCATCTTGACACAGATTTTATTCGTTTGGCGATGGTTGAGTTCGTGAACCTGCGTAGCAATACCTCGAGAATGAGCGCGGCTAAGTGATAATGGAGTGAATCTTTCTGATAGTAAGTGGAGTTTCTGCGCAAGAGCTGTTGTAAGTCTCTATTGGCTGAAGTGGATTTTAGCTACTTGGAGCTGTGCCGTGGTTCTTTGGGTGTCTTAGCGTTCAGTTACGTAAGCCATACCCAACGACAATTGCTCGCTTCTTCCCCTCCACTGATGTAAGGTACCTTGAGGTATACCCACCTTCAACTTCGACTTTGGAAACCTGCCTCATCATCTTCTGCCGGAGATACCTACTTCTACAGGCTTGTTTCTGTACCTCTACTTTCTCATCTTGAATGAGGATGTATGGAATTGCCGACGAAAGAAGATGCATCGTGAATATGGCCGCTTATGTAATGGATTCCATGTCCCGCCGCTGCTCTCCGCCTTCCATTCTCCCTGCTGTGATGACGATGCACGTGACGCTACTTTTCCTGCTTGGGCCAGTTGAGAGGTGCACGGTCCAGTGCTAAGGGGGCATGGATGGCTGCGATTTAGGCCTTGGAGAGCTTGGGATGGGGCTGCAATCTGGCATCATATTTCCCTAAGGGCCAGCGTGCACTGTGACACTACCGCTTCAACGACTAATAGCCACCTCTCCCATAAGGCTTGGTTTTACTTTTCTCAACTCCAGAGAATCTCGGCTTTCCTCGCCAGATCTTCTTGTCACTGTCACGTCAACCAATGCCAATTCGCAGCTAGATTTGTCTTTCTCAGACTGGCCGACTTCCCTTATAGCAACGTCTCCCCCCTCCCTCCGAGTGCAGTCCTGGGGACTGAGTGATTCTCGCAATCATGGTCCGCCTCCGCGAGATCCCAAGGACCGCGGCGTTCGCCTGGTCCCCCGACCCGTCGAAGCCTCTTTTGATCACCGGCACTAGAGCTGGAGCTGTCGATGCCGACTTTTCTGATGAGACCAAGCTGGAGCTGTGGGACCTCAACCTTGACAACCAAGACCAAGGCCTCGAGCTGCAGCCCATAGCTAGCATCAGCACCGACTCGAGGTAGGCTCTGCTGCCGCACTACCAATCAGACATCTTGGCTCACGACACTTAGATTCTATGACCTCGCTTGGGGACCGGCCGATTCCGACCACCCGAGGGGTATCATCGCAGGTGCCCTCGAAAATGGCTCTCTCGACTTGTGGGATGCCGAGAAGCTCATCGACGGAGCCGAGGATGCCTTCATGTCCCGCACAACGAAGCACACCGGTGCGATCAAATCCCTCCAGTTCAACTCCCTCCGACCGAATATTCTTGCGACCGCCGGCGCAAAGGGAGAATTGTTCGTTTACGACATCAACGATGTGGAGAACCCATTCCGACTGGGAACCGCCGCTGCTCGCGCTGACGACCTGGAAGTTGTCGCATGGAACCGCAAGGTTGCGCACATTCTCGCCACCGGAGGCTCTGGCGGTTTCGTCACTGTTTGGGATTTGAAGACCAAGAAGGCCTCTTTGACCCTGAACAACAACAGGAAGCCCGTCAGCGCCATTGCGTGGGATCCCAATAACTCGACGAAGCTCCTGACCGCCACTCACGACGATACTGCTCCCGTCATTTTCCTGTGGGATCTCAGAAATGCCAATGCGCCCGAGAGGACGCTTCAGGGACACGAGCAGGGTATCCTTTCCCTGTCTTGGTGCCAGCAGGACAGCGATTTGCTGCTTTCTTGCGGCAAAGATAACAGGACTCTGGTGTGGAACCCTCAAACGGGAGAGAGACTGGGAGAGTTCCCTGAGGTTACAAACTGGACCTTTCTCACTCGATTCAACCCCGCCAACCCCAATCTTTCTGCCACTGCTGGTTTTGACGGCAAGATCACCGTCCAGACCCTTCAGAACACCAACCCTACGAACACGCAGGCCGCTACCAACAACAATCTCGATGGTGAAGACTTCTTTACCAGTGCTCAGACGCAGCCTCAGGGAGCGTCGTTCTCTTTGAGCCAAGCCCCCAAGTGGTTCGAGCGTCCAGTGGGAGCTACCTTTGGCTTTGGCGGAAAGCTTGTCATTTTCAAGCAAAATGCCCAGCAAAAGTCCACCAAGATCTCCATCTCCCAGTTTTCTGTTGACTCGTCCATCGGTACCTCCACGGAAAAGTTCGAGGAGTCTCTGCAGTCAGGCGACATTGTCGGTCTCTGCGAGTCCCGTAAGGAACAGGCTAAGACCGAGGAGGAGAAGGCGGACTGGCTTGTGATGGAAACTCTTACTGGCGAGAATCCGCGGAAGCGTATTGTTGAGTACCTCGGATTCAACGAGGAAGAGATCACCAACG